TAACAAAATACTTAAACCCAGTTTTGGACTCAATTGGACACGGACCCCAAACATCTGAATGGACTAATTCAAAATGAGCACTAGCTTGTTTATTGACTCTAGGACTCGAACTAAGACGATGGTGTTTAGCAAACTGACAAGACTCACAATTTAATGATGACAAACTCTGAAATCGATGACAAATTTGCTTTAACACATGGAGAGAGGGGTAGCCCAACCGACAATGTGCTTCAAAAGGGGTTACAACTCCAGAACGGGCTATGGATCTTAGAACTTGTGTATTAAGGATGTAGAGACCTCCAGACTCATGTCCCTTACCAATAAGGGTACGAGTGAGTTTGCTAACAGAAATTAAATTAAATGATAACTGAGRTAAACTAAGAACAWATGACAAAGGAAGTGATGGTGTTGGACTAATTGTGCYAGACCCAATAACACAAGATGTTGACCCATCTACTAAAGTAACAGGAGAGGTAGAYTTATGTGACTGAAAGGTAGAAAACAAACTTGAATTACCTGTCATATGATCTGTAGCTCCAGAATCAATGACCCATTTTGAAGATGAGGAAACAAGACATGTATTGGATTTACTTGACTCGACGATGGCAATAATAGGAGTAGATTGAGGTTTCAATGATTCTTGGTACTAAGCAAATTTGGCATATTCATCTGTAGATATCATAACAGACTTCTCAGAAGTATCCGTGGTGGATGCAATATGGGCTGACTGATTTTTCTTATTCTGCAACTTCTTGCAATCCCGCTTCATATGTCCTGGCTTATGACAGTAATGACACACTATCTCTCCTAACTCCTGTCCACGAGTATTAGTATTCCTGTCATAGTTACTTGACCTACCACTACCACTCTTGTATTGTTGTCTCCCTAATTCAGATGTATTATTGTGGCTGACAGGGGCACTACTAGGCTGAACAAGTGGAGAACATTCTGTACGAAGGACCCTACTAAAACCATCTTGTAGAGAAGAGATCTCTGATCTGGAAAGAATCTGAGATTTAGTAGTCTCAAATTCAGAAGGTAGGCCAGCTAAAAAACTCATAGCAGCCATTTTTTCTCGCTGTGCTTGTTGAACAGTCACATCAGTACTAAACGGAAGCAACATATTAAGTTCTTCATATGTTTTCTTGAAATCCATAAAATAGCTTGTAAGAGATCTATTGCCTTTGTCCACCCTGTAAAAGGCTTTGCACACATCATAAATGTGGGAAATATTCCCCTTTCCAAAGTACAAGAACTCTAGATAGTTCATTAATTCCTTAACAAATCCAYAGTGAGTGACTAAACCAACCACCTCACTTTCAATGGAGTTGCGTATCTGCAAGAACAAAC